GATTTTGGATGTTTTTTCTTTTTTGTATTTTTGTACTGTTTGTCATCTTTTACATGGCTGTCAGTAATGTTTTTGTTTTTGGGTTTTTTTTAATAACCAAGAAAAAAGGAACTGAAGAAAAAGGAGTAAAAATAGAGGAAGTTGTGGTTATTTCAAGTAGCTCCCTAGAGGTTGATAACAACTTGATGACTTACAGTGATGAGGAGCCAGACTGTTGAAATGACTCAATTGTTGTCTTTGTTCGTAGGTTTTTATAAGGGAGCCTAACAAATACCAAAACTTCCAGGTAAGAGACACCTGCAGAAAATGGAATGCAAGGGAATGAGGTGGGGCCAGGCTAGACGTGAGGAGGGGGTAAATAAAATCACAAGGTGTTTCCCCTGAAACAGCACCTGCTCCACCTCCAGGAGAAAATAACCAACAGGGCAGACAAAGCTCCTGTCAACAAAACCAGCCTGCTCACCCCACACTGGCGGCACACTATTCTAAGAGCATCTGTGGTCCTCTTCCCACAACTTGCCTCAGCTCACCAGATCACGTTAGTAAGATTATAACCACACAGCCTCAGAGCCTGTTTAAATCTCAAAAGTGTGGGTTCTGGGGGAAGAAAATTTACCACAAATTGTAATAAATGAGATGAACTGGGTTTGTCAATCATGAGATATGACTGACATATGATATGAATTTTCTATGATAGAAATTTTCTATGATAACATTTTTCCATATTTTTCTTGGTACATTGTAGCTTACATATGGTGGTATTCTAGTTACATATTTGTATATGCACACAATATAGCAATATAATCTGGCCAATATTAGTATATCTCCTTTCACTCCCCGCCCCCACAGTTCTTTTCCTCTACTCCACAATCTCCCTTCCATTTTCATCAGATCCTCTTCTCACCTTTCTTTCCCTTTTTTCCCCTTTTTCTTCTCCAGCTTCCACATATGAGAGAAAAAATATGACCCCTGACCTTGGCTTATTTCACTTAACATAATGGACTCAACTTCTATCCATTTGCCTATAAAAGACATATATTTCATTCTTCCTTATAGTTGAGTAAAACCCATTGTGTATATATACCACATTTTCTTTATTCATTCATCCATGGATGGACACCTAGGCTAGTTTCATAGTTTGGCTATTATGAATTGTGCTGCTATAACGTAGGTATGTACATATGCTGACTTCAGTTCTCCAGGGTGAGCACTGAGGAGTAGTATAGCTGGATCATATGCTGGTTCCATTTCTAGTTGCTGATGCTGGATTTGAATTCTTGATCCTCCTGCCTCAGCTTCCCAAGTGGCTGGGATTAACAAGCATGTGACCATACCTGGCTTCATTCCTAGTCTTTTGAGTAACTTCCACACTGATTTCCATAGTGGCTGTACTAATTTACAATCCCACCAACTGTATACAAATGTTTCTTTTTCTCCACATCCTCTCCAGAATTTATTATTGTTTGTATTCTTGATGACTGCCATTCTAACTGGTGTGAGATGAAATCTCAGGCTAGTTTTGATTTGCATTTCCCTAATTACTAATAATGTTGAATATTTTTTCATAGATTTTGATAACTAACAACTACCAATTATGGAGTCCTTCCTATATTCCAGCCCTGGAATAGGTTCCTCATGCATCTCATTTAATCCTCCCAACAGCCCTATCAAGCAGGTATCCTTAGTACCCTCACTAATGGTGACTGCAGAGAGGCTTATGGATATTAAACAACTTGCCACGGGCTAAATTAGTGAACAGCCAGGCAAGATATGATGAAGATGACTCAAAGGCTTTACTATAAAAATAAATAAAATAAATGTTCATGAGTTTCACTTATACAAAATATAATTCTTGCTACTCAACCTAACATCCTATCCTGATCACTGTTGTTCGCCTCATTTAACCTTTGATTTGTGTGCTATGCACAGTGCTGAATACAGGTGCACAGTAAATATGCTGATATTCTGAAAGAACAATTTTTGTGCTGAAAAGGATAATATCCTAAGGTACATGTCTAAATAACTATTTTATTCTGAAGTAATTTCCGGATTCAAACATTCATGACAAAGAATATTTCCTAACAATCATCATAAACTGCCGCAGTCCGGCTGCAGCAGAATAGCCGGGGGGTGGGGGGGTGACAAATAACTTCTGTACATTGATACAGCAAGAATGGGAGCCGTTTATGTATGGTAGGACAACAGAGGTATTTATACATTTTGCACAGCTTATCTTAATTAGCACAAACTAGATACATCAGTCAACCAATAA